AAAAAAAAAAAAAAAAAAAAAAGAGAAAGAAAAGAACCTCGTTCGAATACTCTCACATCTTTCCCTATATCCACTCGCGCAAAAATATCAGGGATACATCTCGAACGAGATCCGTTTCGCTCCCTCCCCACCCTCCCTCTTCCGATTCTCCAAGTAATTTAGAATTTCATCAGAGGCATCGTCTCCGTCGCGATCTTCAATCAATCCACGCGAACGATCCACACGGATTTTATACAAATTCACGATTCACTCGAATAAACGATGCAACGATGAACTCTCGTTGCGCGCTTCCCACCATCCTGCGTCCGAGGACATACAAACATTATCGATTCGATAGTGATATAGTCGCGTTGAACACATTACGCCTCCCCGTGTTCCAATTTCAAGCTTAATGGAGTACCTAAGATGCTCGACCGTAATGGAACCGTTTCACCGGTCGTTCCATTTTTTTTTCTTTCTTTCTTTCTTTCTTTCTTTCTTCCCCCTCTTTCTCTTCTTTTTTTATTTTTTATTCCCTTTCTTTTTTTTCTTCTTTTCGATCGCGCGACACGAGTACGCGTTAACCGTAATGGCGGCCGCGAATTGCAGGGAGAAAGAGCGGTGAATTAACGTTCCACGGTTCGACGAGCTCGCGCGAAACTCGATAAACGAAATGATTCTCTTTCTCTCTCTCTGTCTGTCTGTCTTTCTGTTGGAGAGACTAGGTGGAAAAGCTTAATCAGCTGTAAATTACAGTCTGTTCCCGGTGACATCGTTGGCCCACAAACATGGTGACACATCGGTGTGAAAAAGTGTCCGGTCGATTTTTGTGAAAAATGATACGAGCGGTTCGTGACGTTAGCTGAATTTACGGTTAAAACCACGTACGTATGAAAAAAAAAAAGGAGGAGGGGGGGAAATGTAGACTGGAATAGATCGTATTAGAGTTAGGTGGATGAGTTATGCTCTGTGGAGAATTTGATTTATCGCGGATACCGAGGCGTATTTTCTAATGAATATCAACGTATAACGTGTGTCGACCGAGCGGCAATAGACTCGGACACCATTAGTTTCCAATAGTAGAAATGATTCTTTTAAATTAATACTTTTCGATTTTATATACAATTAATCCCGCGTAATCTTCGCGTTAACAATATTATTATATCAAAGTATATAATAATACATCGAAGGATAATGAAATTTGTCGACAATTAATTCGATGTATAATAATACTCGCACACGTGTTTAAGTTTATCGAGTAGTTTGTATCGCGTGGCGCTAGTGTCGCGACATTCGGTATACCTTTCCTCTCGAAATTCATTTCTAACGCTTTTATACTTTCCTTAGAGAGAAATATTCTCCGCGCGAATAACGTATCTTCGTTCGTTCGCGCAGCTCGAAAAAGGAAAATCCATTTGAGCGGATGATAGTTGCAACAGCTGACGAAGCATCAAGGAGGAAACAAGCCGGGTCGGATTACGATAAACGCGGCTAGAAGGGGAATGGGAGTGGAAAAATGGCGGGGGGGGAGGAGAGGGACAAGAGAGTCTATAGGATTAGCGTTGAAAGTTTGATAATTATACGGTAAGCGGGTCAGGCTTTGCGAAGGAAGAGGAATCGCTCGAACGACGGGACAGAAGAGGAGGACTGTGTGGCGAAAGCGACTTGTCACTGGACGAGACGAGTTGGAGGGGAGAGAGAGAGGGAATCCAAGGGGCCAAAAAGTAAGTTGAAGGAAAAGCAGGGCGAGCAAGACGTAATTAGCAAGTTTAAACACGAGTCGCTGTCTCTCGAATCTCGTTACCGCTGTCTTCGTTAGAGATTGGTGGACGAGTAATCGGCTCCTGTTTTGAGAAAAAGAAACTTGTTCCCTTTTCGAAACAAGAGATTCGAACAAGTATTTTGCCGATTTGGATAGATATAAATAGAAATTTTGACGAAGAATATAGTACACTGAGACAATTATCCATTGAATTATATCATAATTATATCGTCTTATATATTTACGTACTCTGCCATTTATTGTACGCATTAAGTATATTTGATAATGATTGCCGCAGCTCCTTATTGGCGATTACGCGAGGAATACGTGATCGAAGTTTCTCGAGGGTACGATTCGTGCCCTTTATTTCTACCTTTATTATATCCATCATCGAGGGAATTGTTGAGGAATTGGCGTGGAAAATAAAATTCTCCACGTGGAGTGGGCGTAGTCCCGATATTTTCACGCGGGGCACACGCTTTCACCGGCATTCACCCTTCGAAATCTAATATACATGCTTATTTACGTATCCAACGGCGTTCCAAGGAGGAGAAAATAATAACGAGCCCTTTCACGCCCTTCGAAAATGGGGGGTCCAACTCTCGAGAGTTTTTCGACGCTGTTTATTCCACACCTGCGTGCCTCGAATTCCTTCGTTCCTGCCCCGATATCACACCCGCGCACGCGTACATTATCGTTCTAAAGTAAGTTTGGAAACAACTATTTCTGCACGAGAAACCCGAATAAATGTATTTGTGAAAGTATTTGCTCGCAATTTCCGTTCTCATCATTGGCAAGTGCTTTAGGCGGAAGAAAAAAATTAATTCGTTAAAAATTTATTTCATCGTTCGTGTCTATGATACAATTCGATATCTTCATAGAGGCAATGATTAAGATATAAAAATATCGATTAAGATTTATTTATTATCAACTTACAAGCAATTGAAGTTTGCGCGAAGCGAAAGACAAATAGAAGACGATTTTGTCTCGTTAAATTGAGATTATTTATTGTAACTTATTTATTCGAGTTTCCACTCGTAAGATTTTTGCATATCAACTTTTACGTTTGCTT